GAAGAAGAAGAAGAAGAAGAAGAAGAAGAAGAAGAAGAAGAAGAAGAAGAAGAAGAAGAAGAAGAAGAAAAAGACAACGAAGAGGGCACAAGAGAAAGGGGAGACGAACGAGCAAAAACAGCAGCAGCCGCCGCCGCAGCAGCAGCAGCAGCAGAAGAAAAAGAAGAAGAAGAAGAAGAAGAAGAAGAAGAAGAAGAAGAAGAAGACAAAGACAAGGGCAGAAGAGAAGGGAGGGACGAACGAGCAGAAACAGAAAAAGCACAGAGCAGAAGAAGAAGAAGAAGAAGAAGAAGAAGAAGAAGAAGAAGAAGAAGAAGAAGAAGAAGAAGTAATGAATACTATCATGAAGAAGAAAAAGAAGTAATGAAAAGAAAAGCAGACATAAACAAAGCCATTGCTAATATTCTTGATATGTGGGTGTGTAAAAGTTGTTTGCAAGAATTCATTATTTAGTTTACGGATTTTTGAAAAAAAAAAAAAAATAAAGAAATAGACAATTTACTCGTCCGAGAAAAAGAAAAGCACACTGAGAAACAAACACATTCACACACAGTCCGACAAATCAGTGGAATAATTTCAGAAGAATTCAGTCACGGATAAATCCGGAGACAATTTTCCGTTACATTGTCTGATAGGACCCGTCAGTTCAGGGCGCTCATGAGAAAACCAGAAGATTTGTTTTTTAAAAGACCGAATCTTGAAAATTCAACATTGAGTGTCTCGTTGGTTTCACAAACTCATTCACTGTCCTGTTGTGGCATAATGCCACATAAAGCTTACACTATGTATATGCGTATGTGTATGTATCAGCACGTAGGAAAATGTGTACGTGTCTATTTTTGAGTGTTTATGATTGTGTGTATTTGATATGCGTATGCATTATTTCATTATATATATTTTTGTAGCCATAACATGCATTACCGATAACATGCAATGGTGGTCTGAAGGATTATTGCTTGGAATGGCCGAATGTGAGACGGGTCTGGGTGCCCAATTTGTAACCCTTGAAAATAAAGTTTGTTGTTTGTTCTTTCTTTCGTTGTATCTTGTGCAATCAGTTCAATATCATGGATTGAATCCAGTCCAACAGCTTTTGCCTCTCTCATCAAAGGTCTCTTTAGCCTGTCTTTTGTTTGTCCATGCATCCTTAATCTTTTTATTTCCGATATTAGTTTTTATCTAGTGATTCCCGCGGTATCCTTTTTCTCAGGATGTGTCTAATATAGCGCCATCTTCTCTTCCTTATAACTGTTGATACTAATGGTTGACTATAAATTTCTTCTTCTTCTTTTTCTTCTTTTTATTGTGCTTTCTCTTTAGCATTTTGAGCCCTTGAGGTTTATTGCTGCAGTTATCGCCCGCCCTCACTCATCTCTCTCTCTGGTATGCCTTCTCTTTCCAGTTGGTATTACACAGTGTTTGCAGGTCTCTCGGACTTTATCTCTCCATTGTCTTCTTGGTCTGCCTCGGGGACCCCGACCATTCATATCTTTTGTGAATATAAAGGGTTTGTAAATTCAATGTACCAAATCTCAACAGTTCTTTAACGTTCCTGTTTCTTTGTCTGTTTAAATCCATCCGAAAAAAGGCTTAGATAGCTGTTTCGTGACTACAGTAAGTTTTACGAAGGTGGGGTTGTCGGCCCCACACTTCAACCCTCAACCTGGAGGACCAGTGTGCTCTCTTTTCTGTTCTCTACCCTTTGACCTTTCCGGCTTGGGAAGCCCTGCTGGTAGGTAAACTAGACATTTGTTCCCCTCTCTTAATTTCATCCAATTTAATGCCCACCATTTCCCCCAGGCATTACATTTCAGAAATAAATCCATAAATTACTTACGTAGCGAGTTGACTTTATCAGACGTGCCGTCCAAATTGGCAAAAATAGACAACTGCTTGCAACTCTGGGGAAGACATTTTAATCATCCATCAAGTTGCCTATAGATCAAATAACCGGAACTTGTTTCCCCCCGCGGAAAATGTGCACATTTGAAAAAAATGTTCTTATAGATCTTCATCTTCGTTCTGGTTCGCCTAGGAAAGGCTAGTTGGTACGATGTGTTGTACGCTGTGTTACCGGTCCCCTTACACATTCTAGATGTTTCTGGGTGTGGGGTGGAGTCTCTTACCACCTTAGAACTTGTTTTGAGTGCTTAATAAGAATAAAATAACAACGACAATGCTGTGAGCGGCAAATAAACAAAATTACATGTCTGAAATAATACGAAACGCATAAACAAATATTTGAGTACTTAAACAAGAGGGGGTAACCGTGGCCAAGCCATTAGCCACACGGTCTGAAGGTCGTGGGTTCGATTCATGGCTGCATCGTTTACTTCACGAGTGTAATTTTACGGAGATCCATGGGGATCATGGCTGATGCAACGGAGTTCGTGCACCGTGCAACGTGGTCGGCAGGCGGCTAGCCGTTTGGCAGAGAGAGACCGATCCATATGGGATAGAACCCAGTGCAGTCGATCCTCCTGAATTTAACATAAAAAAGGGATGCGTGTGCATGATTAGGGGGGGGGGAAATAAGGGGGGAGAGGGGGGGGGGGCTACCCTTTTGAACATACATCTATGGATGTTTTTATGGAACCTAAGTTACTCCGCTCCTTAACCTCCACGTCCATCTAACAGATGTCGGTAAGGCAGGACTGTTCAGGTAGGTTATCTTAGGGATTAATAACTAGGGGCCCCGATTCCAACTTTAGTAGGTTTGAGGTTTGAACAACAACCAAACATCATGGCACACGCGCAGTAACTCATAAGTTCTCTGTTCTACTTCTAACTCAAGTCTGAGTCCGAAGAAGAAGCTCAGCACTGTGCACAAACTCTGTAGCACCGGCGAGGATCCTGAAATACTTTGGGTAGAGTTTTAACTCCAAATTTAACTGGGGCAGCGCCGTTAGGCTACTCTTTTCGATTTCCAACTGCCAAGGGATTTTTTCACGTGCGCAAAAATACACACGGGCGTCCGATCTCACTACCCAGATGTCAGCGGGAATTACTAGAAGTTCGAGTTCACGTAAAGAAATCCCAGCCTTGCCGGAGATTGAACCCGGAACCTCCAGCACTCATGCTTAGAAACCACGCAGCTCCCCCCCCCCCTCTTCCCCCCCTCCCCAAGCATAGAAAAATAATTATTACCACACAAACTGCAATGAACCACTGGCCATTTGCCATGCCTCTGCGGGCCGCCAGCTACATAGCCCCGCTGTAGAACCCAAGGTACATGAACTGGGAGCTTTGGCACTTCAGGTCTCAAATCAGAGTTCTAAAATATTAACATCCCATTGTGGATGAGCAGCGGCACAGCCTGGTGTAGTGCAAGGCCATTGATCATCTCGATACAAAAGACGGGCGGTAGAAGAATATGACAGCCTATTTGTCACAGTGAGTGTTTCCTTCCTGGCCGCTCTAAAAATCCGTATTTGTCATTCTGCTTCTGTAACACTGTTACCGTTCTTGTCCCTAGCTATTATGAAATGTTCTCTGAAATGTAATTTTTAAGGGAAGTGTTGTAAACTAACTCTCTAGTTCTCTCTCTCTCTCTCTCTCTCTCTCTCTCTCTCTCTCTCTCTCTCTCTCTCTCTCTCTCTGTCTGTCTGTCTGTCTCTCTCTTTCAGGATTTCACCACCCTCTTTATTTTTATCCCCCCCCCCCCCTCTTGCCAATGCACCCTCTTTGCATTTAAGCTCTCTCTCTCTCTCTCTCTCTCTCTCTCTCTCTCTCTCTTTTTCTCTCCCACCTCCCCTCCCCCAGTGTTTCTTTCAACTATCGAATGTTCCGCCCCCCCCCCCCCAAACCCCAACTCTCTGTCACTTACTATCCTCGACTTTATGCTTTCTTGCTTTTTTATCATCCCTCCTCCGCATTAAATTCTCACTTGCTTTTTCTTGTCTTTATGTTTCTCTCACATCCTCTTTGTCTTTCTTTCACTTTCTTTCTCTGCCTTCCGTAATGTCTGTGCATCTGTATGTCTATCTTGACTCTCTATTTCTCTGTCAGTCTTATAATATGTATTCCATTTGTCCAAATATTTATCTGCACATATTTCATGTAAGGCTGCCTATTTATTTGTATGCGATTTTTGCAAAATTATTCAAACTGGTGTGTGCAACATCCTAAATAACAAGCATGCTCTGGTAGCATTGAGTTAATCACCTGGCGTTACAGGACCATTTTACAACCAAAAACAATCAACAGGAACATTTTGCAGCCAAATACAACCAACAAGAACATCTTACAGCCAAATACAACCAACAGGAAAATGTTGCAGTTAAATACAATCAAAAGAAACATCATGTAACGAAATACAACCAACAGGAACATTTTGAAGCCAAATACAATAACAGGAACATTTTGTAAGCAAATACAATTAATAGGAACATTTTGCAGCCAAATACAATTAACAGGAACATTTTTTCAGCCAAATATAGCCAAAATGCCAAATGCAGTCAGTTAACAGGAAAATATTGCAGCCAAATACAATCAACAGGAACATTTTGCAGTCAAATGTAATCAAGATACATCAAGATGTATTTGCAAGCTCGTAAGACTGCTACGTGAAAACTATTTATACGACAGTATGTCGGGCTCTGTTTAGATCTGTTGGTTCTGTCTCTCTCTCTCTCTTTCTCTCTCTCTGTGTCTGTCTGTCTGTCTGTCTGTCTGTCTGTCTGTCTGTCTGTCTGTCTGTCTGTCTGTCTGTCTGTCTGTCTGTCTGTCTGTCTGTCTGTCTGTCTGTCTGTCTGTCTGTCTGTCTGTCTCTCTCTCTCTCTCTCTCTCTCTCTCTCTCTCTCTCTCTCTCTCAGTTGTTAATGTCTTATGTTTATGTCTTTTGCACCCGAAACCCTGACTGGCCTCTAGAAATTTCTGCTTATTACACCCCAAACTATCAATGTTTCTCCCTCTTTTCTCCCACTTTTTTAATCCATGTTTGTGTTTACCTCTCTTTATCTTTGTCTATCTTTCTTTCTGTTTATCGCTGAATCACTTACCTGCAGAATCTGTCCCGCCCGTCTGATATGCATCTTAAAGCCACCCCGCGTAGTGAAATACCCGGACCAGTAAACTCCGGGTGCAATACCATAAGGAAAGAAGTCGTCGGACTTTGTCTCCAGCACTTGCCGGGCTTTGTTCACGTGGTAGGTGTAACAGGAGGGCGTCGAATAGATGAGGTGAAGTCGCTGACTTTTGGACTTGTCCTAATTGAAGTGGGCAGAGGTAATGATAATATTAGTAACAGAGATAGAATCCTACCTCAGTAAACGTTCGCTTTGGTATACGTTCAGCTTAGTATACATCGTGTTTACAGAAACTCTTTTTTTTTCTAGGTAGGCAACCGTTGTTTAGAATACGACTCGCGTGCTAGAACATGTATGAGTCAAAATCACTCACGACACCGCTTGCTATCCTCGTTTACCTCGTGTGAGATAAAACCAGGGATAGATGTCAATGAATTTGCAGAGAAGTATCACGCAAAGAAAGCTCAAACTAGCCACAATAGCATCGTCTGAAATAAGCATGGTCTTCAGGCATAGCGTCCGCCTGGAGTACAGAAGGTCCCTGGTTCAAGCCCTGGCGAGGGCTGGTTTTTTTTTATGTAGACTTCTAATAATTTCGTCTGGTCTCTGGGTAGTAAGATCGAACGCCGGTGTGTACTCTTGCGCACATAAAATATCCCTTGGTAGTTGGAAATCGAAAAGAGTAGCCTAACGGCGCTGCCCGGGCAAAATTTGGAATTAAAAATCTACCCAAAGAGATTCCCAGGGCTCAGGCTTGAGTTAGAAGTAGAACGGAACATTTATGGGTTATTACCCTTGTGCCATGATGTTGATTCGTCGTTTAAACCTTAAACCTATTTTCAAACAATTGTCATGTTTAAACCCATGTTTAGACCAGAGACCAGAGACTGCCATATTTGCGACACATCCTAATGAGAAAGCAAAAGCACTATTCTTGGGCAGACTTTAGGAAAAATCAAACCTCATGAACCCAAACCAGGTCTAAGTAGGGGAAAAGACAGAGCAAAGGAGAAGAAGAATGAAAAAAAAATGTATACACAAAAATTTTAGATTCCTAAAGTTCAGTTGGAAGCATGATCACCTTGGCACCAATGGTCTCTCCTCCTCCTTTCGTCTCAGTACTATCCTAGTAGGCACTCAATTCTGATCAGGAATGTAAAGTTCCGTAATTATTTCGTTTATTTCATGAAACTGCTTTTGTATTTATCCATTTAGTATCAGGCAGTATATACATTGTTTTATACAACCGCATTACTGCATCAAATCGTAATATCAATATTTTTGTTTATTTATTGTAACTCCTTTTGTATTTACCTATTTTAATACTAGGCGGTATATACAATATTTTATACCACCGCATTACTCTATAATTTGCCAATAATTATAGGAAATGTTTTTCTTCATGGAAACGGATTATTATTCATCCCTTTAGTTCTTATGGAAAAATACGACTGGTATAGATACTGTCTAGTGAACGTAACTATTTGGTATACGTACTGTTTAGTATACGTTCTGTTTGGTATACGTAATGTTTGGTATATGTCGAAGGACGGATTAAGTTCGTATATCGAGGTACAGCTATATGTGCTATGTGGAAGTGTTAGAGCTTAAGTTGATATTTTTGTCAGAGTTAACGATAAAATACATGTCTTTGTTAGCGTGGCCAGTATAGCAGAATAGGGTTGCTAAGATAAGATGAAGTCTCTGACTTTGAGACATGTCCTGGAGGTATCGGTAAAGATAACCACGATGATACTGTTAACATAGATATATGCTAATAGTTTCTGAGGTAAAGCTGGTGAAAGTGTTCGAGCTAAAGTTGATATTGTTGTTAGAGGTAACTTACAAAATATTGGCTTTTCAAATGTAGCAGTTGTAGAAGAACAAGTCGAATAGATAAGGTGGAATCTCTGACTTTGGGACCTATCCTGACTTTAGTGGCAGAGGTACGGATGATAATATTGTTAACATACATATATAGAGAAAGTTTCTGAGGTAAATTTTGTGAAAGTGTAAGAGCTAAAGTTTATATTGTTGTTCAAGATAATGATAAATCCCTTTGCAATTCGTCTCCTGTTCACTCGCCCAATTCACATACAATTTTTTCCGTTGTTTGAAATATTCTTTTTATTAACAGAACCACAGAGTTCATGAAGCCACGAAGGAGAACACAACCAATGACAATTTTGTTTTACTGGTGAAGGTTGTATGTGATCATTCGTGTTTGTGAACATGCTCTTTCAAGTGCGGCTGTTCAGGTCTTCTAATATGTCAGTGCGTTTCTAAAATTCCACGAAGACAGATGACTGTTGAATATCTGAGTGAGTCAAAAATCGGTATCAGAAAATTTTCTGAAAGTAATTGCGAGAGTAGTGATGATGACCACATAACATAAACAATGGTGAGTGTACTATAAAGAAATATGAATGACACACCCTCACTCGCCTGGATCTACACACCTGCTCACACCCGCGTAAAAAGGTATTGAGCGAGCAGACCAACTGGCAATCAGTGCACCAGCACTTGTGGGAAGAAGCATGGACAGGACAGAGCCTATCTGGAGTGGGCTAATCAACTGAAGATCAACGGTAGAAGAGGGAGAGGCAGACCGAAAGAGATGATGATGGGTAGGTTGCGACGCTTGCACGGAGGGATCTCATCGGTGGAACTGATCCAGAAGACAAGGGAATGAGATCTGTGGAGATACATGAACGCCTACGCCAGTCGGCAAGGCACATGATGATGAGCTCCATATTCTCGTTGCCCTCTTGGAGTAATAAAGTTAGTCCCTAACCACCAACCCCCCCACCCCTCTTTCCCAACCCCACAAGACTGCAGGCTGAACCTCGCTGGTGTCGCCGTTAAATCTGCCATAATTATAACTTCTTTGGAGATTGAATATGTTATCTAGGAACTGCCTCGTCGGTCAGCCGTGCCTACTGAGATGTTTTAGTTACCGGAGAGGGAAAATAGAATCGATCATTCGAGTGAGTAACACTTTATTTTTTTAAAGTTTAATCAACTGTAACATAATAAACTGTGGTTCAACGTACTGTGTTCATACCCTACTGCAAACATAAAATGCAAAACTAAAATTTTAAAAACTTAAATAAGATTTGGACACGCAAAACTTCACTATGTGAGATGAGATGTATGAGAAATGCGGCAGGAAAAAATAAGAAAAGACAGTCATCAATGAAGAACTAAGAACATCTGGTAAGACTGGAACAAAATCAGCCAGCGGCTGGAGCGTACTAAAGAGAACAGAAGGCTACAAGCCACAGGGTCGTCCATGAAACAGACGGGTGGAGGGAGTAAAACAGACGCCACAGAAACACAGTATGACTTGAATACAAGTTACCCAACACAATAGGTTAGTTGCGTATCCTTTACAGGACGCTGCAGAACCAATCTCATCAGCCCCTGGCTGTTGTGTGGTTTTCCTAGGCAAATTTACGTCCAGTAGTTAGCCAGTGCTCTCTGGACGGTCAGCTCCCTGATACCACTGTCGAAACCAACGCAAGGCGTAAGGCCCGCAGCTGGGATCGAACCCGGTAACCCGGCATTACGAAGCGTTCGCATCGACTTAACCACAGAGCCGACACCCAACACAATAGCCATAGCAAAATCAAGCAATGGATCGCAGACTGTTTCTATCAAAGGCGCTTAACGGCAGAAGTAGAAATTGATAATGATGATGATTACCTAACAAGAGACTGAAAACTGCATCCAATTCCTCTCTTGACGCTTTACGGCGTAAAAGTTAGATCAAAAGAAGAAAAGTATGATCTGCATTTTAAAAAAAAGCCAATAAAAACAAAAATAACTCACCATTCCATTGATTGTTTTAATCAAGGCATCCATATTGACATACCATTTGTCGGCGTCTTTGTAACCAAAGTCTGAGCCCATTGGAACTAGCAGATGGTTAGTCTTAAAACTCCTGGCCTATGAAAGAATTTAGTAGCATTGACATATATAAAACACATATGAAAGTATGCGTATGTAGCTATATGTTTATAAGTGAGTATGCCAGCCTTAAACTACTGGACGTAAATGTGCCTAGTGAAACGTCACAACAGCCAGGGGCTGATTGGGTTGGTTCTGCAACGTCCTGTAAAGGATACGCAACTAACGATGACCAGCCTTAGGTAATTTACTGAAAGTAAAGGCGTCCGGCGGCGTCCGTGGCTAAGGCGTTGCGAGTCCGACTCGTAATTCCAGCGCACCGCGATCGAAACTCACTGCTAGAAGCGTGGAATTTTATCATGGTACGTGGCGTCGCAGGTCGACACAGTCTGAAGTGGGTACCAGGATGCATGTCCTGAGGAAGTAAAGACGGCCGGTGTAATTCTGAGCATATAACGCACCTAGTGCCGATTGGTTTGTAAAAGTATGAGTGCTCTTCCCATATTCTCGATGCGCCTGAGGCGTGAAAAGGGATATTTATTGACTTAAACGCTGTTGGCGTGATGGTAACCATATCACACATCCGGTGACAACTTATCTATAAGAATATGCGTCTTGCATCATATGCCGATGTACCACTGTGTGAAAATTGATTTTTTACTACGCCAAACTTATCATTAGTGATATAATATGTATGGGCACAGATCATATACATAAGAAAATGTTCATATAATTATTATGTAAGAATGTTACATGAGCAAATGATGTTACAGGTATGCAACGAATCTGTTATTAAAAATGTGCTTAATGAAAAAAGTATGCGATTATCAGTTAAAATGCTAAAGAAAGAGTCTCATAATACCATGGACAAAGACGAAACGAAACATTAACATTCCAACATTGAAATAGATCTGAACATCAAGGAAGTTTCGCTAATACACAACACATTGTCTCAGAAGCTGAAATTATTTTGGCCATATCAAACACCACAGCGAAGATTTAAAAAAAAATTGTAGCAGAAGGCATGTGTAATAATAAGAATCCCCATGGAACCTCGGCGAGTTTTCCAGTTGAGGGGACGAGGTCAGAGGGGCAGGAAAACGAGGGAGACTTGGAAAAGGCGTGTTTAGAATATCCCGTGTTTTGTAAAAGGTTGTAAAGGAATAAACGTGAGATTAGAAGAAACGTTTTATTTGACAAGAACGAGCAAGATAGTGTACAACGCAGAATGGCCACCCGAAGTTATATTGATGAAGAAAACCCACAAGAACAATGGGTCAGAGTCTCTACAGATGGGTCCGAACAAAGTGCAGTTAGAAATGGTGGTGCTGGAGTGTACATATAATTCCCAGATGGCACTAGGGATAAGTCCAGCGTATTAACCGGAAAGTACTGCCATAACTATGAAGCAGAAACTCAAGCTATCAAGATAGCAACCGAGAAACTGCTAAATACCAATCTTGGCTCACAGTATGTGGTAATGATGACAGATGCTAAATCCATACTTGAAGCACTCCAGTCTAGGAAGCTACCAGAATTGCAAACACTGCTGACACAACTCAGCCTTCAGCGAAAAGTCGTAATGCAGTGGATATCGTCTCATCGTGGAGTGCCTGGAAATGAGCAAGCTGATCATCTGGCAGGGGAAGGTGCGACAAACGTGCAGCCGAATGTACCAGTCACATACCACCGATAAAAAAAAAGGGTAATTAAATCGAACAGGAAACCACCAGCCCCAGCACAAGACGACTATTTTTTTATGGACAGACCAGAACAAGTCATTCTATCTTCCGCCTCAGAACAGGATTACGTATCCACATGTACACACAATTCAAGATATGCGTATCATTCATGTGCACCTGTAGAAAGGTGTCCCATTCAGCAGAGGATGTACTCCAGGACTGAACCGAATTTAACACATTAGGGCAAACCTTTTGGCCAGAAAAAACAACAGTGGAACGTAAACTCTATGGACTACTGAATGAACTAACAACGACAGTGAAATTTATACAAGAGACAAACTTGCTGATATAGACAACTTATTTCAGGCGAACGAAAGAAGAAGAAGAACAAACGTTTGAACGGAGAGACGATGTAGGGTCAGTTGTATTTTGACCGTGTGAGAGGCAGGTTGCTTGATGGTGTGACTGATGTGAACGTTGATTGTGAACTGAAGAAGCACAACTTTTGAAAGCTAGGAATGTCTTAAGAGAATTGATTTTGAATTGCAACTTCCACCGCAAAGATGGATACAAGACATTGAAGATGCACTGGCATTGAAAGTACATGGGGCCGGAGAGCTGGCTAGGGTAAGGGATACTTTCAGACGTGCCGTGAAGAGAGCGACGTTCTGTAAGGGATTTGCTGATTGAAGAGTGTCTGTAAACACTTGTGTTACCGTGATGCAGATGCCAATACCCGAGTGAATGGAACATTCAGACTGGCAGGTAAATTTACCTCTTGTCTAGTTGTCATTTGTCGTGGCAGTCAGTCGCGAGCGAGTGTCAACGACCGGGGAGAACTTAGGTTAGGACATTGACCGAACGACTTATTTGTTGTACCACAATAAACTGTATCAACGCCATCGTCGTTTTTCGACTATTCTATCATGTGTCGAGACTTTACAGCAAAGCTGGGGTATGTATAAAGTCCATATAGCAGAATGAGCCAGACAGCAACATTATCACAGCATGGTACCAGGAAGAAGGAGCAAGAGCAGTTCAACAAGAAGATGAGCACAGAATAATAGTGACTGGACGTGAAAGTGCACAAAAAGGGAGAGCTGACGAGAGATCGAGTTTCTTTAAGACCGACTTTGATGAGAGCGACATGACTGATTGGTGCTTATATGTAAGCAAACCAACTAATCTTCTATTTAAGTATATGATTATATGTATGTGTACAAATGCTTCATATCCAGATATATTTATATGTATGTGTAAGTACATATTTAGAATTTCTCGCCGACTTGTCAACAATTAGGAGCAGGTTAATCTACTGTCAATATTTCCTTCGAAAAGCTTTATCTAGAAGGTCAATTGTTTGTTGTTGACATGTTTTGAAAAGGACAAAACTCAAGAACTTGCTAACAATTGGCAAGACTGAAGAAACGATTAGGACAATGAAGTAACGAGCTGGATGGCCTGACCAGATGGATGTGGCGAGACACAAACATTGAACTGATTTGTGATTCTGGTGATCTTGTGAGATGGCGAAACATGACAGACTACGCTTACCGGCATGGCATATGTTGATGATGATATCTATAAAAGAACAAATCGTTGATACCAATAGATGACACTAACCACTTGTGCTTCTGCCTGATACAAAAACAAGCTTAATGCTTTGCTTGCACTCATACTGTTAGAATATATACACGTGGAAACAGTCTCAAAAGCAGCTCAAGATTCTTGCGTGATCTATATCTTTCCGGTAATGAAATGGCTTGAGACAGGAAATGAGTCCAGTCCATTAAAGAGCTGCTTACAGTATAGTATCCTTATCTTACTGTGACAACAGTCATGAAAACCACGGAGAAAGGGTCTCACGCTGGCAGTCATTTCAAAGCACCTGATTGTATCACACTAGCGCCTCTGTGTGTGTCTACATGCATGTATTGGTGTGTTTGATTGGGTGTGCCTGTGTGTTTAAAGTTCTAAAAACCGCAGAAATAACTTATGATTATATATTAAATGTAACAAAATAAAACAATAAAAATATATTCTGGATTATGACAAAAGAGTAACAATGGAGACTACATGATGAATTAGTTGTACTGAGCTTACCCTTTCCTGTAGAAGCCTGACAAGATTGTACGCCGATCTTTCCTGAACCTGAAAGACAACCAACAGGTCAGCATATTCAGTTAGCAACAGCGTTTGTCACTACCAGCTTTATTATCTACTAGCACGCAACCATTTCTGTACGACATTCCTGGGGGTAAAGTAGAATGACGTATAACCATTTTCAGTATTTGAGACTGGTCGAATATAGGGTGTTTTGTTATGTTTGGGACATTAGACGGGTCGAATGTATGGCCATGTTCAGGACTTGAGGCGGGTCTAGTGTTTGCTGTATGGCCATGTTCCGGACTTGAGGCGGGTCTAGTGTTTGCTGTATGGCCATGTTGAAGAATTGAGGCGGGTCTAGTGTTTGCTGTATGGCCATGTTGAAGAATTGAGGCGGGTCTAGTGTTTGCTTTATGGCCATGTTGAAGAATTGAGGCGGGTCTAGTGTTTGCTGTATGGCCATGTTGAGGACTTGAGGCGGGTCTAGTGTTTGCTGTATGGTCATGTTGAGGACTTGAGGCGGTTCCAGTGTTTGCTGTATGGCCATGTTGAGGACTTGAGGCGGGTCTAGTGTTTGCTGTATGGCCATGTTGAGGACTTGAGGCGGTCTAGTGTTTGCTGTATGGCCATGTTGAGGACTTGAGGCGGTCTAGTGTTTGCTGTATGGCCATGTTGAGGACTTGAGGCGGGTCTAGTGTTTGCTGTATGGCCATGTTCAGGACTTGAGGCGGGTCTAGTGTTTGCTGTATGGCCATGTTGAGGACTTGAGGCGGGTCCAGTGTTTGCTGTATGGCCATGTTCAGAACTTAAGACTGTTCGAATGTATGGTGTATTGTCATGTATGTGACTTAGTTTTGAATAAAATGGTTTTGGATTTTCAAAATATTTACTGTTTGGCAAGGAATGTTGTTGTCTGGGCAATCCTGGACATGATTTATGGTCTTGACCCCAGGTCACTTAAAATGTATCCTAAATGCTTGAAATGGCTGACTTGTTCTAATTTGTGACGTTTAATGGACATTGGTGTAGTTATCCCAGCTGGATTATTATCATTACTTTAGTATTTTCCATGCCATACTTGGTCAATGTTGCATCAGGAATGTTTACATGTTCGACTAGCTTCTATCCTTTCCTGGCAAACCCTTTGATTTTATCCCCAAAACTTAATTTCGTTACGATTCTTTCTCCTCTACTATCTCTTCCATGATTTTGATCTAGGGCGTCAGTCATAATTTTAAGACGATATTAAACAGTACTGGGGAGATGAGGCAACCCTGTCGAACTTCTCTGAAAAATATCTTGACTTCCTAATACCTTATATATTTAGGGAAGCCACTATGGTGTAGCGGCTATACCTTCGCCTAAGGATTGGAAATTCGTAGGTTCAGGTCCTGACAGAGCTAGATTTTTTTCTTTTTCAAAAACGACCTTAGCTTGATGCAGCCTTGAGTGGGTACTAGGTGCAGTACTGGAAAGATAAAATGGGTCACGGAGAATCACCCATCTCGTCACGGAGAACCACCCATCTCGCTACAAAGAACCGCGCATCTCATCACAGTGAACCACCCATCTCGTCACACAGAACCACCCATCTCGTCACGGAGAACCACCCATCTTGTCACAGAGAACCACCCATTTCGTCACGGAGAATCACCCATCTCGTCACGGAGAACCACCCATCTCGCTACAAAGAACCACGCATCTCGTCACAGTGAACCACCCATCTCGTCACACAGAACCCCCCATCTCGTCACGGAGAACCACCCATCTTGTCACAGAGAACCACCCATCTCGTCACGGAGAACCACAGATTCACAACGTACATTGTCTGACGCAGAAAAAAACGCATGCAATGGACACAGGTGTTAAAGTTACTAGAGAAAACAAAAGTCGAATGGAGTTACCTACGTTAGGGTCAACTTGTATTTGCTTATTGTCAAACACGTATTCCGCTGGTGCGTAATAGCCATCGTATGTGGTCTGTACAAAAAGCGTAGCCCGGTCACCTAAAAGACAAACATACAATAACATGTGAGTTATGACTTATCAGTTAGATTATCTTCACTGAACTCCGGACACATCCATAGGCGTTCAGATTCTCTCTCAACATTTTCATCTCTGTCGCGCGGTTAATAGTGCTAATCCTATACTGGTTAACAAGTCTTGCTGTGAGTCCGGTGTACTTCTCGTGCTTGGCTGTGTCGATTTTTACTTCCAATCGCATGGGTAGAGCATATGTTAACGTCAAAGATAATAATATGCTGGTTAAGGTCATT